CCGCATTTCTCTGCCTCCCACAAATCTCTTGGATCCTGAAGGCGATAGTACCGGTGGCGATAAACCGTCACCAGGTTCCCAAGTGTCAAAAACGCGTCGGAGCCGAGGAGGGGTACAGCATCCAGGCTGCGTTGAAGTGCTTTCTCGACGTCGTCGATCTCGCCAGAGTGTTCAAACCGAAGGAGGTACGACATCCCCAGAGTGTGAAGAGGGCCACCACAGTCGTAGGGCGTAGGCCCTGATCTGCATAGCTCAAGCGCCTGCTCGCCGTATTCTATCGAACGCTGAATATCCGCTCCTTCTTTCCTGCATCTCGAAGCGCAGCCGAGTGGCAACCGCGAGAGACTTGAGTGGGGCAGTGCCGATTCGTATCTCCCGGAGGTTGGAGCTGAAGTGCGGTCGCGCAGAGCGAGATGGCCTCTTCCAAGAAGTTCGGATTATTTTGCGACTGAAATCGAGTGAGGAGGTGGCACCCCAAAGTTTGGGCGGCAAGGGCATGGTGGGGATGTCCAATAGGGCAGAGTTGAATAAATTCGCGACAGTAGCGCTCGGCCTCATCCAGGTATTTTGCATGCCCGAAGCGTCGGTAGTGAGCCTCGAGATAAAGTGCGTATTTTTCGAGGACCCAAGGACGATAGTTATCGCCGGCTCGAGTCAGGTCCAATGCTTGGCGGGTGATTTCTACCGCATCAGCAATGTCAGTGGCCCTGGCCCAGAAGCTCGAAGCGGAGGTAGCTGCTCGCCGCGACATGTGCGTGCGCAGTCAATGCAACCTCCGGAACCGGTGCAGGACATGTCAGGCCGCCGCGGCTGTAAACTAGGGCCATAACCAGGTCCTCCATCCTGCGGAGTCTCTCGAAGCGCAGGAATGAATGACTCTCCGAGAGCGTTCAAGGTGAGTACCCTGTTTGCATGGCCTTCGGGATGTAGGGAGAGTAGTCGTCGATGACAAAGTATTCCTTCGTCGAGGTCGAGAATATGACCGTGAAGTTTGAATTGGTAGATGAGACAGCCACCGCACAGATTGTAGGCCGCAGATTCGAAGGATGGAGAGAGGCTTCGCAAGGACACGACCTCGCGACTGTAACGCGTCGCCTCGTTCAAGGCCGCAAACGCTCCGGTTTGCAAAAAGGACGAGAAGAAACGGGTGCCCGCGATGATGAGATTCCGGGGGCGCTCCGGATGCCCAGGTGGACACAGCGCAAGCAGTTTACGTTGTTCAGTGAGGTCGTCAGCATCCGTGGAACTCTGCTTTCACGGCATGAGAGACAACAATTTTCATGGAGGACGGCTAAATACCATCGGAGATGACCTTGCTGTGGCGGGGGGTTGGATGAAGGGAAACTACAGTTTGAAGGAGAACTAGATGCGGGGGATTTGCTCAGTACACCTGCAGGTGGAAGATGGCCAAGGAGTTCACCTCTGGTCCGCCTCGACACAAACGCGTCAAGTGAATTCGATTCAGTCCAGTTCAGTCCGATACGCGCCCACAATGTAAGGTCCCGGGCGAATGGCTTTAGGTTGGCTCGACGACGAGACAGCTGTCAGACCAGAGCGCGAGAGGTCTCAGGTCACCAAGTCGGAGTTGTCAGAAGTTGAAAGACGGAACGCTCCCGTGATGGTCAAACTCGAATCAACAACGGCACAGCCTCCTTGCTTCTTTCACCTCTACCACGATGAGCAGCCAACGTTAACTCGAACCGCTGCGGGAAAAACTCTGGAAGACAGCCGCACGGACTGCCAAATAGTTGTTCATACCCACAACTGCGTCGTCCAAAGACTCGGGTCACATCCGTCAAAGCTCCGACTTTCATGAAATTTAGGCCAGCCGACTCGGAACTCTTCCTCCCTTGCCCTCTTTCGTGTCTGTGCTTACTTCCGGGGGGGAAACCTCCAAAGCTGTGCGGAAGCCGAACTCTCTCATCTGCATGAAGTAAACCATGCTCCATCGATAACGGCCGCCTTCGTTCCTGGTCGAAAACAAACACTCACCGGAAAGATACTATAGCTGCGGACTCGAAGGATTTAAGCACGTCTCTCCCACTGATTCCCTATCGTTCATCGATAGCCTCAATCCGGAAACTTTCCTTACCAGGGCTCGATCGTAATCTAACGTACACTCGTTCTTCCTCGCGATCGGGGTTTGTCCCAGCAACTTGGTCCCCAAGTTATCGTGGTCTCGGTCATGCTCTCTTCGCGCTTCACGTCTCGCCTACGTCACCCTAGTTCATTTCCTCTGGACCGCCGACAATACACTCGACGGAAGTTACTCCTCAATGCCCGTATGTTTATCTCGCGCCACGGATTTTGAAACGATCTGTGGTAGATACCCAAGCGGGCTTCATGCCGGCATTCAATTATCGAGTCCGCCTCGATGCGCCTCGAATCGATCTTGATCGTGAGCGATGTACGATCCTGATTCCCCGCATTTTCGCGTCTGGGCGCCGGTCCCGCGCTCTTGACATCCTGAGAACACGGAGCGATCCGTCGCAATCAGCGCGCAGCGTCAACGACGCTATTCACGACTCCCTTGGCCCGCACCTATCCTCGGAACTCGCCGGCTGGAATTGCCCGGGAACCGTTACGGGCGCGCCTGGTGGTAAAAATACCGCGCCGCCGATACGACTTCTGCTTCGACGTGTTTTCGGATGGGAACACGCTGCCACAGGGTAGGTCGAAATGTCCCTTCGTTATCCGTAGCCGCAGATATCGTCCGCCAACGCGACGCGTACCACGTTCGTCGGGTTCAGACCTGATATCACCCGATATCGCGCCGCGCCAGACTCAAGTCCCTACACCTCACTGGCCCTCGAACTTCCGTTTCACATACGCACCTTCGGATTCACACTGGCGTCAAGTGTTCTTGCCCACCGCGCGGACGCCCGAGGTGCAAGGAAGCCCGCTGGCAGGGAAGGTGAGTGGGTGAGTGTCATTGCGCTCCAGCTTTAGCACCACTCGACTCCGCTGAATCATACACGGTCTGGAGCAGCTCTAAGCGAGACAGAGTGCCAGGAAGCCCCCCCAAATTGCCGTCAACGCCACACCACGCCTTTGCCTGCGCTCTGAGGGCGGAGGGTTCGACGAGCGTGAATGTGATTGAGGGGGCGTCCCTGTTCTGTTGGTGAGGTACCGGCATTGCGCGAAATGAAAAGATGGATTTGGGATATTTCCTCTTCGGGCGTGGGGAAAGATAGGTCGTGGAATCGCGTCCCGTTCAAGTATTATCCTTCCCAGTGCAAGGTGAGGCAACAGTTTCCGCGAAATGAAGTCCAGCGCAGTCTGATTTGCGATATCCCAACTCTGTCACGGACTCACGGTGGGATAATTCCAATCCGTCCTTCAGGTGTACATGCCAGTCGTTCCGCAGGGTCATTCTGGCAATCGACGACGAACGCCTATCGCCTGGTCTGACCACGGCTCAGGCTAGAAGTGTTTGACAAATCACAAGTTCGGGGTTTATCTGGGCCTGTTCAAGCTCAACCCACAACTCTTTCAAGTTTTAAATCCTACCTCCTTGTGACTCCCTCGCTTCTCCAGCAGGTTTAATACGGGCCGATCCGTGAATACGAAGCTCCTACAACGCTTTATGGCAGCGTATGGGTTCAACGCAATTTTTTTCGTTTGCTTGCCAGTAGTTCAGCCCATGTTCAACGCGCTTCCGAGAGTCTTAGCCCAGAAATAACTTCAACCAATTGCACTATGTGCCCCCCAAAATCTCCCCAACCAATACCGCCTTTCTTAGGTCCACTCAGTCAAATACAACACCTGCAACACGACCCCCCCGTAATTTAAACTCAATTCGGACTAATCAGCTGTCGCAGATGCTCAATTCCCCACAACCTCTCGGTAATCCTTGAACTTCACTTCGACTTGTTAAGTCTTCCAGCACCTCTATTACGCGCGGAACCAAGGCTAATCCAACTCAACGCAGACTGTTTCGGAGTTCGTCCGGTTGGCAGTCGTTGAACGCGCCTCTTCACCTACCGCACATCTCGGACTCAATCACCGAAGTTCCTGCGTCCCATAGTAATTGCACAAATATTCGAACAGGCGCACGTAAGATTGATTCCCTCGGTCTGCGTTGAGCACCCTTTCACAGGTCTAAGATCGCCGAAGTGACCCATATGTTCAAATTCGGATGTAAGTATTCCAGTTCAACCCAAGCAGCATCAATTCCAATTTCCAACTCTCTCTGTATTGATAAATCTTTGAACCTCCCTCCGACCCCAGCACCTCTGGTACGTGTAAAACCGGGCAGATTCAATCAACACTAATCATTTTTTAGGTTCGTTTGTTTGCCAGTTGTTCAGGAATAACTTCAACCAATCACACTCTGTGCCCCTCGAGCTCGGTCCTCAACCAAAACAGAATTCCACAAAGCTTCCTGCCGCATCGAAATAGACTCAGGCCCATTCAATCAAATCCAACGAATACCACATAGCTCGGACACAGCTCAGACTCAATCAACTTGAACTGTCACCGCCGCATTGAGCAGAATGCCCTCCCTCTCCCCCTCTGTCTGACAACCACACCAATATTTCAGTAGGTGCACACAATATTTCCTCGTTCCGCGAGGAAGACTTGGCCGACAGACCGAGGACCACGGGGCTCTGGAAGTGTTGCAGATCTTCAACCTCAAATTTTATTCAATTCATGATTAATTCTGATAACAATTCCTTCCTTCTCCAGCAAAGCTCCGATATCTCCCGCTGTAATACAAAGCTCATTTGACTCTCTGGCAATATATGAGGTGTACCCCAACAGCACATCCAGCTCAACTCGACGATGATCAACCTCAAATCAACCTGTCTGTTGGTTCAACTCGACTCATTCAGCTCGACAATGCTCACCGTGACATTTCAGCTCAACCATGATCAACATGACTTGCTCACTTGCCAGCCATTCAATTTGCCTTCCAATTGGCTTGGGAGACTTAGGACCACAGGTTGAGCCTGGGCCGCCAGCCCATCCTGACCAAACGATCAGCCACCCTTTCCATCGGGCAAATAGTGTAGTTGGTTATCGCGCCCGCTTCGCATCGCGTTGAATTACGTAATTGATATGCGGGAGGTGCTGGGTTCAATTCCCAGTTTGTCCATCCTTTTGCTTCTCTCTCTATGTGTGCTTCTTCACAGTGTTTTAGTTGCTGCACCTCCCCGAAACCCCCAGTGTTAGAATGCACCAAGGCCGAAAGGGGGGGGGGGGTGACTTCAAAAAGCCGAGAATTGGCTTGTGTTGACTCTAGGCTGGTTGAGATGGTCAAGATGCATACACTTGAATATTTGTGGGATTATAGGATGTCGGGGAGCGCGGGGGAGCGCGGTTTGTGGGGCGGCTTGGTAAATTGATGGAATCAGCGGGAGCCGCTTTTGGGAGGGAAGTCCGAATTTGTGTTGTATTCGACTGGCTCAGGGGCTTGAGCTAGTCCCATTAGGGACGGGGGAAGTTGTGGGGAAGCTGGGTCTTGGTTGGGGAGGTTGGGGAATATTTTGGGGCGGGTTTGTTTTTTGGAGGGCGAATAGTGTAGTTGGTTGAATTTTTTTTGTGATCCGATGCTGACTTCTGCTGAGTTCTGTGTGGCAGGTAAGCCTTGCTGACTCTTATTTTGGGTCCGGGCATCTCTGAGGTTAGCCTTCAATAGGTCCGGGGGGAGTTGGAATTCAACGGTCCAGCGGCGGCAAGTGGTTTGGTTGAATTCTTCGGAGTTGGTTCCAACCGCCTTGAAGACGAAGTTCGCGAGTTCGCGTCGGCTCCGCCCCGTCTCTGGAGTGCACGAACGTGTGTCGGCTCTCCTGGTCTCATGCAACGGCTACCATTGTTTCCGCCCGCAAATCAAATCAACAATGTGATACTTGGAAGGAAGCGATCATCTATGCGGGGTTGCGTCGGGTAAGTGGTCGGGTGGTCGGTCCGCGTTGCGGTTGAATCAGAATTGTTGTCCTGAGGAGCAGAGCATGTGGTCAGGAAGGAGACCAGGCCTCCTTGCTCCTGACCACCATGTCAAATCCAAAAACTCTGCAAATCTTGGACTCAACAGCACCTACACCCAACGGCTTCTCTGGAATGCTCACCTAACACTCTCGCGGGATTGCGCAAGCGCCGCAAGGTGCTTGTTCTTCCCCTGCGCGACGTCGCCTCGCCTGCCGCAGCCCAGGCCCCGGCACGACAGGGGTCTGTCCCGTTCACCTGCTCGGTGTGTCCACTGTCGGGCTGCCAGGTCTCAGGGTGCGTCCCGCTTTGGCGGCCCTCAGAGCTGGTGTATCCCGAGGTGGGGGATTAGTGGGCATCCCTGCCCACACACCCTGCGATCTGCGACCGGGAGTCCCGGGTCGTTACCCGGGGCGACCCGTGTCCTGTCAAATTTCGGCGATCGGCTCCGACAAGGCTTCGGCGATTAATCTCTTGGACCCGCTCGCCGCTCGCTCGCGTCTCGTCTACTCTAACGTGCCCTCGCGCCCATGCATCTGCTATGCCCTCGTGCCCTCTCTTGCCCTCGTGCCCTCTCTTGCCCTCGTGCCCTCTCTGTGCCCTCGTGCCGCAGCCCTCGCGCTCTCGGTGCTCAGGTTCAAGTTACCCTCGAGCACATATGTCTCCATCTATCTGCTTGCATCTACACTGCTCTCATGCCCATGCATCTACTGTGCCCTCGTGCACTCTCTGTGCTGCTGTGGAGGTTGCCCTCGAGCACTTGACCACAACTGCATCTATTCTACATATTGTCTGCCCTCGCGCACTAAATATCATAATATTCTTCTATTTTAAGGCCCTACCTATATCGTACCTGAGCCTTTGGAACTGAAAATGAACAGTTCGACTTGTTCTCGCCCTTCGCTGGTGAACTGTTGTACAATTGGTGGACCGCTCACGGTGTGGTGGATGGCGGAGGGTTTGTCTTGGAAAGAGAGGACTCGGACCAAGCCCCGCTGGGTTACCTCCGCTTGTCCTGCTATGTCCAAAAGCCGGCCATCCTTGGGCTCGTGTACCATAGGTTCAAAGTTTAAAGGTGAGGGCGGGAGCTGGTAGAAGTGATTCATTCTTCAATTTCCGGCACAAGGTCAGTGTACTTCTATGCTGCTATTCAGGTGTCCGCAATCTACGGCCTCGCCGAGAGAGGTTAGCTCGTTGCGGGCGGTTGGGTAGTGGTGGAGCACAGTACATTCATAGGGGTCGGTGTACTGTATGCTACAACCCGGAATGTTCCGAAAGGGGACCACAGCGGGCATAATATTATCCTGAGTCTTATCCAGGCGACGACGACGAGTCGGAACATGTTGTTGTTCTCGAAGACGTCCCTCGGCGCAATTTCTCTTTTCCGTTTCATCTTCCGCTCAAGTTGAACATGTTGATTTGGAATTTCCTTCCACCCAGCGATTCGTTCCGTGCCTCTATCTCCCCTATATTCTCGCACCCACCGCCAGAGCTAAGCAGTGAGTGGGTCAGTAACATGGTCGAACAGCAAGTCATAGATGCAAATGCGGGGCAGCACCAGTTGTAATTTGAACCAAACGGGAGATTGAACCCCCTATCAATCATTCTCGTACCTGTACTCGGGAGATCCACCTAAATGAGCCTAAATGGCGTTCGGATAGATGCGTAGAGGTGAGTAGAAAGATCCCGTGGACCTGGAATTAGGCCCGCCGCACCGAGTACTACTTATGTCGTCCAGGAGTCGCGCTGTCTGCGATTCCGTCTTGTTTTGGTCGGACGCGCTCCGTGGCTCAAATCTCAATAACCTTCCATCCTATAAATCAGTTCCGAGTCCGTCCACGCGCCGTGTTCGGAACTGGAATGGATTGAACCAGTCAGTCCGAGCCCTCCAGTCATTAAATTATTCGCATGGCGGACCGAGCTGGAGGACCTGAGTGAAAAGCCAACATAGCACAGTTGAAGTAGACGTTGAACTTGCACTCGCTACCACGGCCCGACATCTTCCCCACCTGCGAAATGAAATCATGATGAAGACCAGACGGTCGCCTGAGCGCCGATCCGCCTTCCTTCGAGACAAGGAAGAAAACAGCTTGGCGCGCGCGAGGAGGTACATAGAGCATGTGAGACGGCGAGGGCGGCCATGTTCTCCGTCAAGGACTTGGTTCCACCTACCAGCGCATCTGGGTTCGTGGTGCGCAATCTTTTTTTTTTTTTGCTTCGTGTACCAGCCCGGCTGAAGTTGAACGTCACTGCTTTCGTTCAGTCCCTTCGTCCCTTGCGGCGTGTCCGTCGGTATCGAGCACTCAATGGTTGAGCAGCAAGGAATGGTAGATTTGAATACTCCCGCGGACCAACAGTGCACCATTCGTTCGTTCGTTCATTTATTCCAATTTGAACCAAATGGGCAATTGAACCCTCTATCAATCATTTTATTATACAAGGGATCTATAACCCGCTGTCCTTCCTTAGCACTCCGTCCTGGACGTGAACTGAGATGGGATGAGATGAAATGAGTCGAACAAGTCAGCCGGGGACGGATGTACTCCTTCGAGGTTGAATTATTTTGTTTAGCGTCCGGACCGACTCCGCCTAGAGGTGAAATTTGAAGGGGTATGGGGAACTCGAAATTACACTAAGCTTCTCGCAAGTCAAGAACATCGGAACCGAGTGCGCACGGTACAACACTCACTGGGTCGATGAGGACTCAGAGTCGCGCTGTTTCGTCTGGTCTTGGTCAGACGCGGTCCATGACTAACGAAGTTGCTAAATTACTTCCGAGTCCGCGCCGTGTTCGAGTCAAAATCATCTACCTACTTACTTGGATGGCGTCCGACCCGGAACGGATGCGTAGAGGTAGAAACTTGGTCTTGTGGAGCTGAAATTAATCATGTAAAAAAAGTTGAACCCCCTATCTTTTACTCAAATTCCTTCCGCGCGACGCGTCGAATTCCTTCCACCGACGAGTCGAATCCGGTGCCGCGTCGACCTGGTTCGAAGAGTAAATTTCAACCCGACCTAATTTGCGCTTCAACTCGCACTCACTCGCTACCACGGCCCGACATCCTCCCCTGCGAAACTGAAATGATCAACACACCCATTCAGTCAAGCGCCCCAGCGTCGATTCCCCCGCCTTCAAGACAAGGAAGGAAGCAGCTGGGCGCACCTCGGCAATCTTTTGAGCCGCCAGTCCCCAACTTCTCAGGATGCGGGCAAACGCCTCGACGGGCATTCAGGAAATAAAATGAAATAACCAACACAACACACACCCATCCAGTCAAGCGCCCCAGCGTCGATCCCCCGCCTTCAAAACAAGGAAGGAAGCATCTGAGCGCACCTCGGCAATCTAATCCAGAATGCGGGGAAACGCCCAAGTGACTGTATTCAAGCGGCCTCGAGGCGTAGGGGGTAATACAATTAGGCCAAACGCGGTTCTGAAGTTGATGAATGTGATATTTGGACGAAGGGGGGGGATGCATCAGTAGTGTATTGAGGGAGGGTTAGCGCAACGAGTTTGGTGCGACGACGCGGACGCGGGGGAGGTTCAAAGTTGTGGGGTTGGGGAATGGGAATAAGAGCCTAACGCGGTTGTTGTTGTCGTGTTCTGCAATTATTGGAGGAAGCACGATTGGGGCTTGGTGCGACGAGCGCTAAGTAGATGCGATGGGGCGGACGACGTGCACGCGGGTGATGTTGCCAGAAAGAAGTAACGGACGGCCGGTTGGGGAGGTTCGAAGTTGTTGTGGGGTTCGCTTGCGCTTGCCCATGTTCGACGTCGACACGAGGGCCCGGGGCTCCTCACCTCACTCCTCACCTCACTTCTCTCGTAGTCTCTCGTACCCAGACAGACGGTCTCCGCCGTTCGCTTCGGACACGGAACGGCGGCGACTAGCGGCGAATACGCGATGGCTGTCCGTTTGTCGCTCCTTCGTTACGCCGCCGTTGGAACGCCGTGTCTGGGGCGGTCTACCTCCGCCCAACCTCCGCTCGCCACTCGTCGTCTACACTGCCCATCGTCGTCGTATGCTATACGCTGTAGACCGAGCGCCTGATCCCCTGCGTCGTCGTCCCCAACCCTCCCAGTGGTACACATCCATCTTCCTTCTGGTTAGCTTCCTCTCTGTCGAAGGAAACAAAGACGCGCAACGACTGATGGAAAGCGCCGCCCAAGCG